ACGTTTGAAGTTTGCAAAAGAGCACCTGGATGTTCCACAGCACTACTGGCAAAATATATTGTGGACAGATGAAACCAAGATTGAGTTGTTTGGGAAGAACACACAACACTATGTGTGGAGAAAAAAAGGCACAGCACACCAACATCAAAACCTCATCCCCACTGTAAAACATGGCGGAGGGAGCATCATGGTTTGGGGCTGCTTTGCTGCCTCAGGGCCTGGACGGATTGTTGTCATTGATGGGAAAATGAATTCCAGAGTTTATCAAGACATTTTGCAGGAAAACGTACGACCATCTGTTCGCCAACTGAAGCTCCGCAGAGGATGGGTGATGCAACAGGACAATGACCCAAAGCATACAAGTAATTCAACAAAACAATGGCTGCAACAGCACAGAATACGCCTTCTGGAGTGGCCCAGTCAGAGTCCTGACCTCAACCCAATTGAAATGCTGTGGCATGACCTTAAGAGAGCAATTCACACCAGACATCCCAAGAATATTGCTACACTGAAACAGTTTTGTGAAGAGGAGTGGTCCAAAATTACTCCAGATCGTTGTGCAGGTCTGATCTGCAACTACAGGAAACGTTTGGTTGAGGTTATTGCTGCCAAAGGAGGGTCAACCAGTTATTAAGTCCAAAGGTTCACATACTTTTTCCTCCCTGCACTGTGAATGTTTACATGTTATGTGCAATTAAACCATGGCAACATCTAATGTTTGTGTAGTATTATGTTCAACAGACGGTGTTCTTCTATTGTTGTGACTTAGATGACGTTCAGAGCACATTTTATGCCCAATTCATGCAAAACTCCACGTAATCCCAAGGGGTTCACATACTTTCTTGCAACTGTATGGCTGGCCTAAGTCTCTCTGGTGGGTGTTCCCTTTATTTTACAGAAAATGTCAAAAGCGAAGGAAGACTCCACAGCAGGAAGGAGATTGATTTAATGCACCAGCATTACCCATAAAATACCAGTGTTTGGTTGCTTGACTGCTAAGGCACCCATAGTGATGAATTAGAAGCTGCACCTTTAAGCAGATACTTGTGTTGAGAGCATACATTCATGCACATATTTTAGGCACCCCCCCCCAGTGCATAAACTTGTACAGCAGCATCTTCAAATTCATGTCAATGGAAGGTCGTATGCCATAGATGAGGGTGCTGGGGGAATGATTATACAGGCTCTGAAGGTTGGACAGCACCTGTATGAAGAGTTCAATTTATCAATGTATTCATCCAAGATTCACCAATTCCTCCAGTAGACTCTTGTGTGCGAATGTTGGGTGAAAGCTGTTTAAATCTTGGTAAAAACATTTATTATACATAGACAGACCCCTTAGGTTCAAAAAGTAATGTATAACTAAAGGCAAAACTTTTTCCTTTTTGGATAGAGTGGAGAGGGATTAGAACACCTGTTTATTGCTGTCTGAGATTCACCCTCTCTATTCATCCTGTTTACCATTATCACTGAAAGTGAAAGTAAAAGAAAGTCCCAAATTTTGGGTTGTCCCCAAAACAAGAATAGTGGGGATATCTTCCAATGGGGACACTAGTTCTAGTGATCGGGGGACAAGGGATTCCTTCACTTTAGAGGGATCTCACGTCCTGTTTTGGCTATGGAACAGGAGTGAAGGGAGATCTCCCCAATGGGACACTAATGGCAAAAAAATAAAAAAAAACAAACCAACCATCAACAAACTTACAAGGCTTATAAGCCTCCCTTATACTACTCAAAAGGAAAAAAAAGAAAAGCTTTGCATTTACTTCTATTTTAATGTAATACAGGTTACCTATCTTAATGAGCAAATAAAGAATAACAGAAGGGTAGAACTATCCTAAAGTAATTGCATCTTCAGACTCGTGGTGACTAATCATGTGACTGCCTGTAGTCGGCGCCAAAAGGGCTGGCGGAGAGAGAAGTTCATTCATTCAGGACCAGCCAATCAGCATCCTTCTTCAAGTTTAATTGATACCATGTGAAAGCTCGCTTGTGTGGTGTGATTTTGTAGAGAGCCACATAAAACATGACCGAATTATTCATTTTTAAGTCTTCCCCTTACTCTGCTAATTATTTTCACTCACTACACTGTGCACGTCCTATAAACACATTCCTGTGGATGTGCGCAAGCTCCAGCAGCAGCTGAATGTCACAGTTTTCACTAATGTGACTCTGGTAGAACAGCTGCTTGCTGGTGAACTGAGTAACCAATGTCACCCTAGGAACGGAAGCGTCTATAGATCTGCTTTTATTTAGATCATACCAGCAAAGCATGACAAAAAAAAAAAAAAAGGCAATTAAATTGTTTTGATCATATAGAACACGCCCAACATGATGTGTGGTTCAAGTGTTTAGGTTGAAATACATTTTAAGCCAGCTGTCAGAATACTATAGCCAGCAGAGGAGATCTGTCCATCTACGATGTTTAGCATAGATGGGATACTGAGTGATCTCTCTCTTTTTACACTAGCAGTAAGGACTGTGCTCGGATCATTTTTCAGGAGTGCTTAACAGGCGGCGAAGAGGCACCTCATCACCACCTGTTTTAACCCCCTAAACCCCACATGCTTTGAATGGGGTTGCAGCACAGCTCCAGCTGAATGTGACACGGAGAATAATTCCTGTGGCAAAGTAAAGCATTGTGGCAGCACCACCTGCTGCTGCCTTTGCAGTTAAGGAAGAGCGGATAGTGCTAAACTGCTCCCCTCCCCTAACCCCCCAGTCCCTCGTGTAAATGAGCCCTTAGCATGTGCGGCTAGCTTCAGACAGAGAGAACATTCTACAACAAGGGCAAGCAACCCGCAGATAGTGGCAATCAGAGGTAGATTGCATCCTGACAATCTCCCAGCTCCTGACCACATCTGCCACCTGTGAGACCAGCAATCTACAACATGTAAAGCAGAGCTCACACAGTACACTTGCAGGGCTGCAGCGGTGTGCCAAGTGTGCTCCTGCACTCGGCATTAGTCTAAAATGCATATACTCTTGCATGCACACATCTGTCAGGCGGAGTGATCTCTACCCGACAGATGAATTCAAGTCCTAGCCTCTGACTTGATGTCATACAGAGGCCTCAGAGAGGTAGAGAGTGGCACCTACGCTGTGAGGAAGTGTGCAATAACCTAACAAGGCACTGGCTAGCAGATCTTTACTTGTTGACAAGTGTAATGTGTTACAGTGAATGGTGTTTTGTGATGGGAGGATGAAAGGGTTAATTAAGAATATTAGTAAAGTGCAGCATTAAGCGGTTAATGTACTGCCACTGGTCACTGATATATTAATGACCAGTGGCAGTGGTAACCCCTTTGTGCTGCATTAGTAGCACCCAGTGTCAGTGTTAATTAACCCCATTATGCTGAAGCATGAATGGAGTTGACAAACGCTGCCGCTGCCCACCAATATGGGGGTAGTTTGAAACACTACCACTGACCATCAGTGCAGAAAGACTGAAGTGGAATTCCAGCTTAAACCTAACTAGCCTTAAAAATGCCCCCTCCTGACACCTATACTAACCTATTTTCAGGCTGCTCCAATCCGGTCTCTTTCTCTCCCGTGTCAGCCAGTGGCATATGCAGGGGAGAGGGGAGAGCACCGACAATGGCTTGGACATGGGAACCTATAGATGACATCACAATTCCAGGCCTTACAAACTGTTGTCAAAAGCTCTATCCTCTTCCCCTACAACCACCACTAACTGACACAGGGGTTCACATGACCTGACCAAGGCAGGCTAAAAATAGGTAAGTGACAATTATTTTTATTTTATAAATGTTTTCTTCATGCCATCCTTTTCTGGGAGCCAAGCTAGTTAATTTATTAAATAAAAAAAAAAATATAAAAAAAAAAGAGCCTCTTTTTTTAATCTCTTCCATGTTGCTCAGGTAGATCTCCAGCTCTCAAAGGTTGCCTAGCCATGTTCTACAATATTATTCCAAAGGGTAACAGTGCTGACACTTCTACTACAAAGTGTAATTTAAAACTAATATTAAAGATATAATGTTAAGCTAGGATATAAAAAAAAAGATAAAGAAAGTCCACAGGATAGTGTCCGTGCTTAGTGACAGTTCCAATATATACACAATAGTGCTTTAAAAAAAAAAAAAAAAAAAAAAAGTGCTCCAAAGTGTTTTTCTCCAAGAAAGACAGACCACATGAATTTCACACCAAACTCACCAGATGGTTTTGACTCGATGTGTTAGCAGTTGAGTCAAAAACAGCATATGTACCACAGATCCAAGGTATCACAGCCTCCATGTTTCCCATAAATCTTTCTCCAGCTTTTTGGATAAAGGCACAGTCTCCCCTATAGGTAGATCAGAGTATGTCAGAACAGGACTGAGGTTCTGTAGCAGCTGGCCTGTAACTTTCTCTAGATTTCAGTTATTGTAAAAGGTGGAACTGATTGAACAAAATCCACTGATAATGTTCTACCCAGTTCTGACATTTACCAAAGAGCACCCCCCCCCCCCTTTTTTTTTTTTTTTTTTTAAAAGCACTACTGTGTATACATTGGTATTACTGTCACTAAGCACGGACATTAGCTTGTGGAGGTAAGGCGGTAACTGTAGGCATTTGGAGATTAATAGTGCAGCATTTTAGGTGTATTTTCACAGTATACCAGCAGCAATCATAATTTTAATTTATTACATTTTTTTTTTTTTTTAGGTACCATTCACAGTTGTGCAACTTGTCATGGGACTTTGGACATGACAAGTTGCAGCCCTTTATTTTCAATGGCACCTGTCCATATCAGTGCGACTTAAAGTCACAGCAAGTTTGAAAAAGTGCCTGCACTAAATTGGTGCAACTTTTGATGCGACTTAGATCCACAGAGTGTACAGTCAAGTCAAAGTCGCATCAAAGTCGTACTCCAAAGTCAAACGATTTCCCGTATGAGTGTGAATGGAGCCTAACTCACAGTGCAGGTATTTTTTATAGGATATCGACAGATAACACTGGTTAACGTTAGCTTTGAATACAAAAATCATAGGACTACTCACCGACCACAAAAACCATACTCCATAGGAAAAGATATAGGAGTAAAATATAAACCGCCACCTAGAAAGAATATAGAGTGAAAAGAGAAGAAATATGATTTGGAAAACTTCAGAGCCACTAATATCAAGAGAAAATCTAATAACACCCTTCCCAATAACATTGATTATCTACATTAAAACATATTGCAGCAAAAGGTAATGATTGCATCATATAATAATTTTGTTTGTTTCAGATACATATTGAGAGCATCCTACAATCATTTGCAATGGCTGTGAACCACACAAAGGGAAGCTGTACAAAAATTCCACTCCGACATGTTTTTCCCTGCTGTCCTTCAAGGTCACCTTTTATAATACTTCACACAATGCTCAATTGTCATGCAAGTATCAGACAATACAGCAAGTATCTAGGAGTACCTTTAAAGATGAAAAAATCAAAACACTTCAAAATCAAAACACTGTTTGTACAAATATTCATACAAAAATTCACAGTACATTCAATAACTTGACGAACGGCATTTGAAAGTACTTCAGAATTCTGATTTAGCAATTGATTGTGGAATGTAGGGATGCAACGATACAGGTGTTTTTTTTTTTTTTTTTGTGTGTTTTATCGGCCAGTAACAATACTTTCGGTCAAGTATTCACCGATATCAATACTTTGCTGTGCAATTTGCATCCATTAAGAAAAATCGCACCTCAAAAGATTAGCATGCGATTCCTGTCCAAATCACATGTGGTTTCCCCATTGCTCCTGTGTGAACCACGGCTTGTCATAGCCAGAGTTCACACAGAAGCAGTGCGGGAAACCTCTCTGCAGGCATCCCATGCAGAGTCTCAGTGGTAGGAGAGGAGAGAAAGCAGCAGAGATTTGAAATCGCCTCCATTTTCTTTCCTCTCCTTGCAGCGATGACAGTTCAGCGTCTCTCCGCCTGACGGAAGTGAGCAAAAGATCTCTAACCCAAACGGTCATTGCGGTCTCCTCTCCTACCAGAGACTCAGCATTGGATGCCTGCATGGAGGTTTCCCGCACCGCTCCTGTGTGAACTCGGGCTATGACAAGCCTGGGTTCACACAGGAGCAGTGTGGAAACTGCTCCTGGGTTAAGATTTGGACCGGAATCGCATGCTAATCTTTCCGGTGCAATTTGCTTCTATTAACGCAAATCGCACCGCAAAGTATCAGTTAAGGTATCAGGAGTATTTTCACAAGTACTCATGAAAATACTCAGTATTGGCACCAATACGGATACCGGTGCACCCCTAGTGGAATGAATATAATGTTCTCAACAAAAACCACATTCACTCTTAGAAATGTATTGAAAAAAATGTTTCTATCCTGTTCAATCAATCAAATTTTATCATTGAAATTAAAAATTTATATCGATTGGACCCCACTAATGATTAAAAAAAAACAAAAAAACAAACAAAAAAAAAACGAGCAGCTGTTTTTTAAACTTTGGAACAAAAATCTACTGGTGTATGGCCAGTTCTAGTCACAACATTTGCTAGATGATCCCTTTATTTTCTGCTAAATCAAATTTACACATGTCCTGTGGCTCAAAGGACGTAGGCAAGCCGTAAATGAATTGACCATCACTCGATTCCCTCCAATACACTCATTGTTGATGGGGTAATCCACCCCAGCACCACTATTGTGTTTTGCCGGCAGAGTCCCCCCAGTCGACAGAACACAATTACTGTTAGTGGCTATAGTTGCCGGCAGTAATCGCGTGTAAAACAATACAACTGGCTGGTTGTACTCTAATTTGATCGATGGATTGACTTGAGTACAACCAGCTTACCCATAGATGGATCGAATTTTGGCTGGCCCCTGCTGAACTGGCTAAGATTTGATCCATCTATGGCTGGCTTAAATCAGATCTTTACCTGGATTAAATCAGCCACATAACCCTGGTGAGTCCTGTATGTCAGCAAATAAACAAACAAGTCGGTAACCCTGATGGCCACTAAGGCACAAGGTATAATTTACATGGCTCTGCCTTTTATCCCTAAAAAGGAATCAACAATTTCAGCCTCATCCAATGAAGATCGCAAATGCATTAACCCATAGTACCCAATCCCATTTCACAAGGTCAGACGAGTACAAGGTGAATTCTGATTGATGGCTCTGGTTCACTACATTTAAAGTGGAATTAAACTAAAAAAAAAAAACAAAAAAAAAAAAACACAACACTGAAAGACAGGTAGGGTTGTAATGACAGAAGATACCCTGCAATAGATACTTCCCCCTGCAAGTGCAGCTCAAGAGTACATTTATGCCTACCGTGCACATGTGCAAGAGTGACATCATCACAGCCCTGCCATTCAAGCGGCCTAACAGAGCGAACCTGGGAGAAGATGGAACCGCCAGGGTCCAGCTGCAGAGCTGAGTGCAGCAATGGAGGCTTACATTTGACAGATAGGTCTGCCATAATGTGCTATCACCTGGTGCATACTAGCACATTGTGGCATAAACCTCCCGAGGGCCCACTAAAGAGAAAAATAATATATATATACACTGCGATACTTAATTCCACTTTAACATGTACGTAAACCCCAACAGCAAACTTCTCTTATTTGTTACCATCTGGCCTGTTAAATATACTAAGGAAAGTCTTTTTCTGTTACATCTGCTCAATAAGTGTAAAAAATAACAGTTGACCAGGTCTGAAATGCAAAGCTTTAAGGCTCATTCACACCGTGGTGCAGAGACGTCAGTTTTTCTGCACGTGTTCTGCAAGGGCACAACAAAATCAATTGTTTTCTATGCAGCACTAGTATCACATGCAGATATTTTTTGGCGCAGAAATCTGCAACGTGTATAATACTCATTGAAGCGTGCATGAAAACTGATGTCTCTGCAAGTGAAATCTGCATGTCAGTTTCCATCAGTTTTTCTGCACGTATAGTGTGAATGAGGCCTTGTTGCATCGTGTGCTCACTTCCTGTGTTATCTCAAGGAGGCCAAATAGCTCATCTAGCTTCTTTCTTGGGAGCAAGTCCTCATGCACACTGGACGTTTTTACAGCTGCTGTTTTTGGCGTTTAACATTACAGCCAGTAAACTCCCCAGCATGTTATCCTATGTGTCCATGCGCACACAGACTGTAATCAACGTTTTTTGAAAGGGGGCGATTTTTGGCTGGAAAAAAAACTCAGAACTAGTAGGTTTCTAGAGAAATTTTTTTTAGCTGTACAAACACTCTAATGCTGAAAAACGTGGTAATTTACAGCAAACCAGCTTTTTTGGACTTTTTTTGACCCCCCCGTCAAAACTGTTTTTGGGCCAAAAAAATGCTAAAACCGCAAAACGTGGAAAAACGCCACTAAACGCTATTGTAAAAAACTCTGAAAAACTCACGTTTTTAACATGACTTTACACAGCTAACATTACCAGTGCTAATAAAATGTCCCGTGTGCATGGAGTCTGAAGATCAATTAGTCTCTGTTGTTGAGAACAGGATAATAAACAAGGTTAGAGTAGTTTAGTAAAAAAGACAACTGGTTAGGGCTGACACCACTCAGACCACATAAATACTCTGTTATCAGCCCACAAGTGGGCATTTCTGGCACAGCACCAGGTATTTTTCTATACTTTTAGGGTCTTTAGAGCAAAAGTACAAGGAAATGTGTATTGCTGGGAAGTACTGCATGTGTTTCTTTATTCTATTCATAATGTTTAAAAAATATGAAGTCTTTATTCAATAATGCCATTTTTTAAAATATGTGATGGAAATATCATGTGAATACCATGTGTTTTACCAGCAAACACTTCTAATTACAATAATAGACACAGAAGACGAATTCACTCACATGCTCTCTGAAAATTTTGTTACTAAGCTCGGCTTATCCTGATTTCGCCTTTGTCTGAACCACCTCTGGATCTTTCGTGCATCCCAGTCCAGCTGCTTTGAAAGTCCCTCCAGGTGCTTTCCATCGGGACACTGGATAACACAGGATCAAACAGATTTCAAATACAAAGTATTTTTTGTTACTTACATTCATGTGCAAAAAAAAAAAAAAAACCACACCTAAAAATAATCAGAACTCTTATTACATTTTTATCCAACACATCGTTGAGTTCTACCAAGAAAAAAGGCTTTTTTTTCAGCCTTCATTGTCCGCAACCAGAGCAGCCTTTACACCCTTTAAATAGAGGAACCCTGCAAACTATTTTCCAGTCTCAAAATCCCTACTAATAGTTACTATATCTACAGAAGTGTGAAGGTCAGTGGGAAGGATGCCTCTTACACTTGTGGTCATTTCTCAGAATCAACCCTCATAAATAGCTAAAAAGATCATTGGTGTCAGTAGGAACTTATCTGAGAGGCAGAAACTGCACCTTTCTCTACAAACCTCTAGCAACCTCCGGAGGAAACCTAGAGTTTCACAGAACCAAATTTGAGAAAGTCTGTACCAGAGATCCCCAAGTTAGCCCCAATACTCCAGCAATTGTCTGACCATAGGACAACATAAGGAGAAGGAGCCCAAAGTGCAAGATTAGCCACTTGCCATTTGGAACATTTTACCCCCTTCCCGACCAGGCCATTTTTTTTACTATACCACACTGCAGTCTTTAACAACTGCGCGGTCATGCAACACTGTACACAAATGAGATGTATATACTTTTTTTCACAAAAAAAACCCTTTTTTTTGGTGGTATTTGATCACCACTGGGTTTTTTCTATTTTTGCACTATAAAATGAAAAAAGACCAACAGTTTTGAAAAAAAAAAAAAAAATATATATATATATATATATATATATATATATATATATATATATATATATATATATATATATATATATATATATATATATATATATATTTATTTATTTATTTTGTTTTTACTTACTGCTATAAAAACACATCCAATAAAAAAAAATTACATCAAATTTCCTCACAAATTTTAGCCAAAATTTATTCTGCTACATATTTATGGTAAAAGAAACCCAGTAAGTATATTGATTGGCTTGCACGAAAGTTATAGTGTCTACAAAATATGGGATATATACTAGATTTTTTATTTATTTTACATTTTTTAATACTAGTAATGGCAGCAATCAGCAACTTATAGCAGGACTGTAAGAGTAAGGTGATCAATCTGACACTGTGGGACCAGTGACACTAATACAGTGATCAGTGCTAATAATATATACCAACACTGTACTAATGGCGCTGGTTGGGAGGGGTTTAACATTCCAGAGGTGCTCAAAGGGTTAAGTGTATGCGTAACAGTGCTTTGTGTGTACACAGTGTGGTGTTTTTACTAGGGGATGAGCTGCTTTTTATTCCCTGCTTTGCAAAGAAACAAAAACCGGCACATCCCCACAGACAGGGCAGAGCTCTCTATTGTTTACATACACAGAGCTCTGTCCTGTCAGCCTCTTTGCCATCACCGGTTTCTGGCAGTCAATCATTGGTCGGGACCCGCTGATCGGCTTGTGATATGTCTACGCAGGTGGGGCGACAGGCGTGCACGTGCCCTCTTCCTGAGAGAGCTGCACAGGAGTGCCATCTTGCAGCCGTACGTCTAAGCAATGTAGTTGGCAAGCGGTTAACAGCTACATGTCAATAGTGAATATGGGAAAGCAATATGTCGGATAGTTTAGAAATCTTTGCTGAAACTGAAAAAAAAAAATGATAATGGCACTAAATAAAGTACCACATAGCTGCGTTTTACCATATTCAATATTGTGTATGTTCAGCAGTGTTGAGAATTTGTTATGGCACAGCTGGGCTTGTTTATGATTCAACGACCCAAATCATTATCACATAGCTAAGGTGGTGACACCAGCTTTCCTTATTGTAGCTTTGCAGCTTCCAGTGTTAGAGCAACATCTTGTTATTGATCCTGTCCCTGGTGGCAACACATCAGCAACAGGATTGCTAAGTGAGCAAAGAGAACACTCATCTGCTTCTATGGAGACACTTACTCTCTAGTCTAAAGGTGGCAGAATCTCGCTCGTCAGAGAGGGACCAAACCTTAGGAGCAGGAAAGGGATTGTAGAAGGTTTACATTTTATATTCTTTAAAATACGAAACATGTCATCCTTACTTGCTCCGTGTAATGGTTTTCCACAGAACACCCTAAACCTCCTCTTCTAGGGTCCTCCACCAGCGTTGTCTGCTGCTCCCCCCTGCCAAGTGCCCTATAGCAAGCCACTATGAGGGCAATCATGCATGCTTGCTCCCAAGCCAGCTCTGTGCAACTACCTCACTTCCTACTGGCAATGATTGACAGCAGCAGGAGCCAATGGCCAATAAGGAAAGAGAGCAAAAGAGAGACGCTGCTTTCGTGCTCATCGCTGGATCAAGATCAGGCTCAGGTAAGTAAAAGGTGGGTCTGGAGTGGGGAGCAGCACACTGAAGGTTTTTTACCTTAATGCAGAGAATGTATTAAGGTAAAAACCTTCACGCTTTAGAACCATTTTTAGCTGGCCATGCATGGATCAAAATCTGGCCAGTGCAGCAGGGACCAGCCAAATTTCGATTCACATATGGGCACCCTGGTTGTACAGAAGTCGCTCTAACATGTCTTTTTTCAAAGCAGCTCTAAACCTCACCTCCAAACTTATTTCATTAATTAGACTCCAAGGGAGCAAACTACTGACTCCAATTAGCTTTCGTTGAAGTAATAATTCTAAGGGTTCACTTGCGTTTTCCTCAATCACTGTGAATGTTTAAATGGGCGTGTTCAATGAAGTCATGGGATATTAGAATTGTATGTGTGTTCATCAGCTTAAGCACATAGTGCTTTTCTATTGCGGCGATTTAAGCCCTGTACACATAAGTTGAACATTAGGTGGTATCAGCCAGGTACACAAACCAGCCGCCATTTAGCCAGTGTCCAGCTTCTCTCAAAGGGGCATGACCAAAAAAGGTCTGCCGATCAGCTTCCGATCACTGCTCTCTGCCAATGACTGACAGAGCGACTGGTGTGTTCTGGCAAGGAAGAGAGGTGGGGGTGGTAAGTGTAGTGTAGAAGGATCTCCCTATTTCACCAGCAAAAGTATATGTCCAGCAGGTTCCAGGGAAAGTGAACCGAAAGCGTGTATAGCCTAATTGCAGGCATCAAAGGAGGTGAGCGCACATCTTCACTATTTGAAGGATTCACAAAAGTCACAAATTGAAGAACAACAAGCACCAAGTCACTATATACAAACAATTGTTTATTCAATGGGACTATTATTTTGATGATATTTGGATTCATACTAATCACTACTAATTATTTATGAGCATTTGGTTATTTTTATTTATGGGGATCATCTAAATGCGTTTTAGTTGAGGGTTATTAGTTGGTTTATTATTTTTATTATATTAAATGAGGGTATTATGAATATAAATGAAATTGAGGGTATTCGTAAGTACATCATGTCACTAATAGATGATTTATGAGCACTTGGTAAAATATTTTTTAGAGGAGTATGTCATGTGGAATTATTTTGATATTTATTTGGAGGAGATTGATTAGTTGAAACTATTTAAATATTTTTTGGTATTTATACACTTTTATTAGTTATTTGTATCATAATTTGAATTCATTTAACGGTAATAATTTAATTATTATTTATTGAGAAGTATTTAGGAGTGCAACATATATTTGTAGATATTTCCAACACAGTTGTAGTTATGTTTCATGTTTGCGATCCTCTAGTAATTATCACACCTGTGGCTCGTAAGTCACTCTGATTCATCTATACAAGTGTAGAGCAGTCCCTCTGTCAATCACTGTACTAACACCGCTTGTGCTAGTACAGCGATCGGTCAGGTTTTTTTTCGTTCAGCCTGCTGGGTTAAATAATAAAAAGAAACTGACAGTGTGTTCAGGGCATTAGATGCGGATCAGATCAGATTGCAAACAAAACCGTTCTCTCCCATCAGCTCCTGCACACTGCTTTGCATGGCTGTGCATTGCATAGCCATACAAAGCAGCGAGCTTACAGTGAAGCACAAAACACAGCCACAGTGTAAAACAGCATACAGTTAACCCCTTCCTGCCCAGTACCATTAGTACAGTGTCAGTGCTTTTTATTAGCATTGATCACTGTATTGGTGTCATTGGGGATGTCAGTGACACCAAGTCAGTTCCCCCCAGTGTCAGAATGCAGGCCGCAGTCTTGCTATAAGTCGCTGAACAGCCCCATTACCAGTATATATACCACCATTTGTAAACACTATAACTTTCACGTAAACCAATTAATTTACATGTATTGTGATTTTTTTTTAGCAAAGACGTAGCAAAATACATTTTGGACTAAATTTATGATGAAATTTGATTTTTTACTGGACGTTTAATAGCAAAAAGTCAAAAATATTGTTTCTCAAAATTTGCCTTTTTTTACAGTGCAAAAAATAAAAAAAAAAATGCAAAGGCGATCAAATACCACCGAAAGAAAACTCCATTTGTGGGGAAAAAAGGATGTAAATATCATTTGGGTGCAGCGTTGCATGACCATGCAATTGTCAGTTAAAGTAACAGTGCCGTAATGCAAAAAATGGCCTGGTCAGGAAGGGGGGTAAATCCTCAGGAGGGCAAGTTGTTAAGGTGTAACTAAAGGCAAAATATTTTTTTTTTGGAGAGGGATCAGAATACTGGTCAGTTTTTTTTGTTTTGTTTGTGCCCTCATTGGGGAGATTCGTCCTACTTATCCTGTTTATTGTCATCGCCAACAGTGAATATCTCAAATTTATATTATAGGGTTATATCTCCTCCCTATTCTACCTAAATTGAAAAAAAATTGCCTTTAGTTCTACTTTAACAGACCAACCTACAGCAAGAAGTAGTGCTTAAAGTGGAGCTACACTGCATCTGGGCACCATGAACCAAAAACATTGATTTTAACATGCAAAGTGAACTCGCCCATCCACCCATGTCTCCATCCTGATGCGGTCCGGAAATTTCTGTGCGAATTCCGCACCACATCAGAATCACACCCAACTC